AATGCCTTGGAGAAGTCCAAATAAACTATATCCAATGGCTGGCCTGCACCAACGGATTTTTTTCACTCATCCCGTGCAAGGAACAGGTTTGTGATGCACAGACGCTTGTGCCGAAACCCGTGCTGGGTTGGAGACAAAAGGTTATGCTTCTCCAGATATCCCGCTGTAGTCATTGAGGGCAGAACGTTATTTTAGTGTCATGATTAAACCATCACTGCGAGGTTACTTGCATATTCAGCTCCGACTATTCCATTGCATATGTATGTACATATATATGTTATTATTGAATCTTTATTTAAAAATGCCTTTATATTCTGCTTTCAGACACCTGGATACTGCCCATCCCCTGTCCCTCCAATCCCTGGCCCAGGTTGAAGTCTGTGCTTCGAGGCTGGAACTTTACTTACGTATTGTAAGTTACCTGAGTTTTCTGTAGCACAACTGATACTTGAACCTCGTTCGTCCTCCTTGGTTTATCTTAATTTCTACCACGCCGTTTTTCATTCCGTGGTCCTGTATTTATTCGGTGGCTCTATTCTTCACTCACTTAATTTGGGCTTGTCCTCAGAAATGTATAACACACCACGTATTTTCCGCGAGCTTAAATCGACTCTCGATGGACGATTTAATCGACCGTTTCGATTGATTTCCGTCCACATTGTCAGTAAAAGTGTATGAAAGGTGTCTCCATTCACCGGGAGTGGGTTCATCAGTTACCGAAGTGTTGTGCGCTCTACTTCATTTTGATCGAGTAAACAGTCAACTTTCAGAATGGAAAGGAGAGGTTCGATCAGAGGACTGTCATGGGGTGCATGTTATTTAGATGAGGGGCGGTGGAATAGATTTGCGTGATCTCTGTTATGTGATGGTTACTTACACCTTTGATCATCACCGCTACCCTTTCTCAGTTTTGCAGGAATTTCATCTCCATCCTGCTTATCTACTTATGATAATTACTTATTACACAGAAAACAGTTGCCACGTGTACAAACAAAATGAAAAACGGTTTGATCAGCTGCCTAAGGGGCCAAATGGTTAGTATACTTGCGCTCTACTAGTGAGCTCCCTGATTCGGTCCCTAGTTGCTCTGATCTATTCACACTGCTGATGAGACCCGACCAGGTTGAAACATTTGTACACTGCTTCTTGGCTTTCCGGTTCACGCTTCATTTGGCTTGTACACGATGAGATTAACCCAAACAAAAACCTGTTTTCATTGATAGAGCTTGTGTTACTGGGTGTACCAGTATCGTGTAATCCTTTTCACATGGCTTGAAGCTGCTCACGCATGATAAATGGATTTCATGTGTAACCAACGTCAAAATAACTCTTCCGTTTTTAACGAATTTGATAAAATTATCTCACTTCAAAATGCGGTAACTGTGCTGTGACTACACCAAGTGCAATATTCCGTTAAACCAACACAATTTTTTTATTATTCCTTTTGGCGTTTGGTTCACGCCGGTTAACCTGAATTCATTTATATCCTTGGGATTATATGTATCCACAAATAATATTCTCGTTGTCCACCGCACAATCAGTATCCCGAGAAGAACGCACAAAACGATGGACCAACTGATGACGGATCACGGCAAAGATGGAATAAAAACAGTCCGTTACATTTTTCTCATCAATGCGAAATCGTACCTGTCTAAGAACGATTTAGTATTGCATTTGCACTCAACGAGTGGTCTTTGGGATTAATTTAGAAATTAACAGCATTCATCAGTTAATGAGAATGAATGGATCTCATGTTTTCGTGAAGCTTTCGTAGGGAATTCAAATGAGGAATCCAATTTTTCAGTTATGAACGGGGGTTTGTCTTCAATTTCTGAATGCTGTTGCCTGGTTTTTGCGTATGTATTTATTCACTTACTCAAACACGGTTATTTGTTCCCACCTCTCTGTCTTTTGCTTGGTTTATTTCAGGTGAGAAAAGAATGGCAGCGGCTGAATGCTATGCTCGGACATTTGTTTCGTCAAACTCAGAACCACAATATGGACCCGGGTCCGACCGTACCTTTCGATTTCCCACTATCCGACTATGCTCACCTCTTATCCGAACTAATCCCGGGTATGGGCCAAACCGGTGTGATACCGATGTCTTCAACCACGGTCATCCCTGACAGTCCGGTGTCTAGCATCGCCATCAGTGTTGGCACGACAAATACCTCGAATACCCAATGCACCCCCACTACAACGAACAGTGCAATGGTGAACAACATGAATAACTGCAATAGTAATGGGGCTATTGTCATGAATGGGGATCATCCTAGCAACGGACTTGCCAATGCCATTATTCTATCTGGACTAGGTTCAACAGAAGCCGGGGAATATGGCGATGAGCAGAAACCATCGATCGAATCAGGTATAATTTGTTTTTATTTTATCTAATTCTTTGTTTTCGACGCGTCAGTTTCTACCTATCAAGATGACTGTCCGGAGATAGAGCGAAAGAGAGAGAGTGGGAGAGAAATGACATTTTTCAGACTCAGTTCAAAACGATCATAATTAACAGGAAATAATCGAGGGCCTC